CATCCGGTAGTGAAAAGAGGCCAGGGACAGTGAGCGTATGGCGATGGACCTTGCTGAGCTGACACGTAACACAGTATTTTGCCCACTGTTGGACGTCAGAGCGCATATTGGGCCAAACATAGCGATCTGTGATCAACTTAACAGTAACCCGATTGCTTGGGTGTGAGAGCCTGTGGAAATGATCGAAAACGACTTGGCGGTAACGTTGGGAAACGTAGGGTCGGGTCTTACCCGTAGACATGTCACAATGAACTTTGGAGTCCGAGTCAAGAAGCGGCAGAAGGGTAAGTTTGATCGAAGGTTTTGATTTCATTTGCATAAACTCAGAATCTCCCACCTGATAGGCAGCGATTTCCTCTAGATCAAATGTCGGACGTGAAAGTTCCTGAGTTCCAATGTGGGACATTGCGTCGACCACCACGTCAGTGGCGTCTATATGACGGATGTCAGTAGAGAACTGTGATATGTAATCAAGGTGTCAGGTTTCACGAGGGGAAAAACGGTCCGAAGAACCCAGAAAAGCAAAAACAAGTGGCTTGTGACCAGTAAGAATGGAGGTGTCGTGTGTTTAATGGCGGGATAGACGACCAAAATTCCTCTTCCGAAGATACTATACCTAGTTTGTGCGGGTTGTATTTTACAGGAGAAAAAGGATAGTGGTTCGGGATGACCATTGATAATTTGTTGCAGAACGGCTCCAACTGCGGTTTGTGCCGCATCGGTTTTAAGGATGAGAGGTGTATTAACATCAGTCCGTAAATAGCTCAACGCTATGACGTTAAACAAAACATGTTTACTCTTGTCGAAAGCGTCTATTGCTTCGCTCGTGGGTTTGAATTTTCAAGTCTTTTCTTTAAGCTAGTCGGTTGAAGGTTGAAGCAGTGTAGAACAATCAGGTATAAAGCGGCTGTAATAATTCACCATACGATGAAATGGCGCAGGCTTTTGCAGGACTGCGGCATCGGACACTCTATGATTGCTTTTGTTTTCAAGTTCAGTTGGGACCGGAACTATAGGATAATCCCGTGAATGTTCCTTCTTTTGCATATCGTCGGACCGGGAATTGACAGGTCTGCTTGAGATGTTGGAAAGCCTAAAACAAAGACCGCATCACACGTTGTCCAATCAATTACTGCCCACATTTCCTGCCCAGTAGTCCATGCCAGGCCGGTTTATGTGAAGTAAAAGAGTGAAGGGTAAACTACGAAAACAAGAGGAGGAATGTCAGTTAAATAATGATATACCAATGTGTGAGAAGAAAATTAAAAAAAGAAGGTAAGGTTGAAGATACAAGTCGGTTAGGAGAAGGGGAAGGTATGGTACCGCCACCCAAGAGCACCTAACGGACGCCCGAGACCCTCTACCGTAGACTCCGTAACCACGTGCGTCGGAAGCGAGTTCCAACGTTTAATAACTCGACGCGACAAGCGAGTTTCCGTCCTTACCCGGTCAGAACGCATTTTGTGCAGCTTCAACGGGTGACCTCGGAGACTAGGCAGCTTGGCGGGAGTAAATAGCCAGGACAAGTCTGGACCGACCTTACCCGTTAAGATACGGTAAGTGAGGATCAAGTCTCCTCTGATTCTGCGGTAGCGCATTGAGTACATACCCAAGCTAAGCAAACGTTCGGGATAGGTTTGCCCCGTAATCCCTGCACTAACCTTGTGCCCACTCGCAAAACCCTCTCCAGTTCCATTTTGTCCCTTACAAGACTAGGTGGACAGGCCTGGATGCAGTATTCTACGTAAGGTCGCACAAAACCGGAGAACAGCTTCACAAAAATATTAGCCGTTAGGACACCGAAGGAGCGGTGAATAAACCACATCATACGGAACCCTCCACAAGCAGCCTTCCTCCAATTTTCCCCAAAGTGAAGCAATGAGGTATGGGTGATGCCTAGATCAACCTGCTGAATGACAACAGGGAGTTCACTTCCACCAACTACATAGCGCGTGGGGGGACTAGCACCTCCAATGCGGAGGACAGGATATTTCGCCTTATTTATGGGCTTCAGCCATAAGGTTGACTAATCCCAGAGCCTATCTA